AGAAGCTGCTACAGCCCAGAGTTGGGACTTTGCGACGACAGCAACACTCGCCTTCGCTCTTACGCTTTGCTGGGGACTTTTAGCGCCATCCGCTATGGGTCGCTATATTCGACAGCGTGACACGGCAGATTCTGCGACGTATTTGTTGCAACTTCGGGGCCAATTTTTGACGTATGGGTGGGAGCGGACGCTAAACACAGCAGTCAACGACGCGTTCCTGGCACCGTATGCGGAGCGCAAGTTCGTCTGCTTCTTGCATAGGGGCTGCAATGATGACAGATGACCAAACTCTTATTGGCTGACTGAAAAAAAAAAAAAAAATAGAGGGTAGACCTTAAAATCGAGACACCTTGCATTACGGTCTACCCCCTATCCTTCAAATCAAGGCCAATAGACCGATCTCACTAAGCGTTCGGCGCATGCGTGACGTCGCCATAACTTTAGTTCTCAGGAGGCAGATGGCCGTGCACGCGAGAGCTCGTGCCCTCTCGTGCTTTACACGCGCAGTGCTCCAGCGAGGTTGTCGCACATGCAAAAATACTAAAGTTGCCTCAATGCTTTGCGACAGCGGTGGCATCGTCAAACTGGCTGGTGAGATCGGTCTATCAGAGCTCGGCGTCGTTCTGACGTCACCGGAACTCCTGCCCAAGAAGCAGACGACTTTCTCTTCGCGTGTCACATCGCTTGCAGTGAGCAAGGACCAGAAGAACCAATGCCACCTAGAAGACAATGCCTGTCCCCCCAAACGTCACCACTAGAAGATGCACGCAGCGCCACCTATAGTTTGCGTCCGTGTCGCCTCCAGCGCGCCTAGCAACGTCTCACAACGCGCGCCATGCTACCGTGCTGCGACGCTACGACGCACGCATCTGCCGTTTGGCGGCGTACTTTCCTCGAGCTTGGGAGTGTTTGCCGCTTGGGGGCGAGTCGCGGATCCACTAACGACGACCTAATGCGCAGGGCTCATCTTCTAACTGGTAATGGTAGAACAGAGTCTTATTGCGATCGACAAGACACTGACGTCCCTGTTGTTTACTGGTCTTTCCATGCGAACCCGCCGACGCCATGACGCATGGATCGCATTTCTCGAGTGTTGCCTAACGTCGAAAAAAAGAGAAGCCCTCGTGCGTTGCATCCCAAAGTTTGTCGGCGGAGGTGCGAGCTCTTAATGACAAACGGTGCGTTCCAGATGACTCCGAGGCTACGAAGTCTCGATCGGTGCCGTGAAGCCGCGTCTGGCTTCATGGCGACTGATGACGTACCCTTGAAACGTGGAAGAAACCTGGCGCTGCCGCGTCCGGAAATGGGTTCGACTTCACCGCTGGGAATCCTACTATTTCGAGTCAACGACAGCCAGGCTCGTGCAGAATGAATCGTGGCTCAGCCTTGCCGTCTGCGTGTACGATGTACGCGAAGGCAAGAACGGCGGTTAGCAACAGGTATAGGATGCCAAATACGACTCATGAAATCTCCAATTGGATACCTGGGAAAGATGGACCCTTTTAAAAGGGGCAAGGTGATGACCCCAATGTCTGCTCTTTCTAGTGACTCACTGGAATTATGTCATACTGACGGCCGCTTGTATGTAGTCATATAAATAAACCAGTATAGTTCTTCAATAACCAGTAAGGGGGGGGGGGGCGACAGATTACTTGATATTCCTCGGCAGGTGTACCCAGTCTTCAACTTTGGAATGCATTGTGGACCTCACAAGTTTCATACAGAGCGAAATGTTATTCCGTGACAAGGTTCCAGTTAATAAACATATTTTTTGGTGAAATTATAAAATTCTGCAGTTTTTCTTTGTTTACATACTTCGCGTCACGACCAATAATCACTGTCCAGAGAAAGGTGAGGACCATAATGTCAATAATTACGACGATGATTTAGTGACGTGACACATGTTCATCACACATCATCAACTGATTATTTCACAGTAACCTAAAGACAAAAAAAAGTTCACACTCATCCTCTTCTCCGGTGCCAAGCAACACAATAAATATTGGATAAGCCCCTCTATCATTCGCACCAAATTCGGCATAAAAAATCGGACATATGCACGACGTATCGAACAGCCGTACATTGCCGGTGCGCAAATTGTGCACAAAACAACGGGTGTGTCATGATTTCACATTATTCCGTTCCCACGCGTCGTACGACATGTCCAAGGTGTCGTCGGCCATGTATCTTGCGCTTAACCCTTCTCGCGACGTTCGTAGCCTTTGGTTAAACTCGAATTCTTTCTAGTTGCAAATTTTCTGGACGATAATCCGCACCTTGTGTACATTGCTCAGGGGAAACCTTTGGAAAAAAGAAGTTTAACCGCGGTTATAGCCTGTATATGTTGCATGTCTGCACCTGCTGTATAGTTTGCACTTGGTTTCTAGTTCGCACGTAAAACATTCTCATACAGGGCACAGATTGAGAAATTCGCGCTTTATTACATCGCAAAGAAACTCGTATCATACGTGAAATTCACTAAACCTGCCATGTCTCGACATAATAAACGAGCTGGAGAAAACAAACCCTTGTATTGGTCCGCATCTGCAGGTATACTTCACCGCACAGCAATTAAACTTTTAAACATGTATATTCCGCGGATTATACTCCTTAAATACCGTATATTTCTCATAGATAAATACCACGCGCGCTTTTAAACAAGGCTTTGTCAAGGTTTAGTTAACTGGGCCTGCACCATGAAGTGAGCGACAGATTAGGCCGATACTCCCTGCTGCGGCTTTTGAACTTGCTGCGATGACTTGGGCACTACTATGGTTGCGGGTGCTTCTGTTGACCGCGGGCTGACAGCATTAGACCGGGAGGGAGGGGAGGCCCCGCTCACAGAAAACAAAGCTCAGCTCACACAAAATAGGGCTAGTGGGCTGGTGTCCTGCTGACCTCCTTCTGGCAAACTACTGCTCAGTGGCAGTCGTTGAATACCTGTGACCAGACAATTTATAGGTTAAATAATGTCAATTTTCGAGGAAGACTAGGCGATTAAAAAAAGCCACCTTTCGCTGCGTCCCATTTTGTGACGCCAAAAGAAAAAAATCCCTTTTATTGAGTAGCCGTTACTATTTACCCGTCAGCAGATTTAGAACTCTGTTTATTTTTCCTCGTTCGATCTAGTTCATCTAGTTCCAATATTATAGCTACTATTAGTATCGAATTCTGCCATTTCTTTCCGTGATCAGACTAAAGCAACAAAATTTTAAAGAGAAGCAGCTCTTCGGGGGTATCATGTTTTGGACACTTTCTCAATCAACAACGCCGCAAGCACAAATACGGATTTTTAAATCAGTTGTGTCCTTCTAATCACCAAGAACATAGACATTTTAATTGTCGCAGGTATTGTAGCTGAAAGCTAAATACTTAACTCTAGAAAATACCTGAGTAAAGTGTTTCTTTTACCTAGGTTGAACGTACAAAACAAGGAAACTTGTCCATCGAAAAGTCATGACTTGGTGTCCGTCGATCGCCGCGTAATTTTGAATGTCTGGTTATGTTATATGGGTTTTGGGCTGTTAGAGGCTTGTGGCATATTTGTTCGGCTCACTGGACAGGTTGCTGAGATTTTGGCAAAAGAAATGAGCGCACTTTGACTCGTACAAGAGAGACATAATATTATCACCTTAGGCGCGTTCTTTCGAACGCGCGATTAACTATTTGTTCTTGTTCATTCGTTTCTTGGATTCATTTATAAGGCAGTATTCTATCGGATGAATAAAGCAAAATATATCAAAATAACATACGTAAATAGCTCAAAGAGAAATTGCTAAAAATAAAATCTTGTTTCGAGTTTTCGACTTTTCCGAGTTTTAAATGAAACATGCAGAAACAATGCAACAATTGAAAAAGAAAAGATTCGCCAAGTCACAATAAGTAATATATTCGGACACGTCAAGCATACTGACTAAATAAGAGCGCAGAAAACAAAATCAATATAGAAACAAGGGGCTTGCTCGTACACCATAAAAAAAAAAAACACGAAAACAATGCATTTGCGTCGGCACGTTTTTATGAAGACGGTGCTTGAGCGAGCTATCATGTTTTTGTCACCACCTGAAACGCCTGTGGGGGTAAGTTCGTTTGACTGATTTTTCTTTCTGGCATACAAGACAGTATGAAGAGACATGTACAGCATGCTATTGCATCTATTTTTCTGGTGTGGTGCTAAATTTGTTAAATCAAGTTAGGTGAATTTCAGTAATTGTTTTATTCTCTCCGATTCTTTTCATTTGCTACCCGAGTTTAAAAAAAAAAAAAAAAACTTTAATAACTTGCGGCGTACTTTGAGAGAGTCCCATGAAAATATTTGCATTATTGCAGTAACAGCAGCACTGTCATTAAAATTATGTCAGTTAGCAATAGTTAGTAACATTAACAAAACCGGTTTCGAACTGCTGTCGGTTTATTCATCAGGGTTTTAGTGTCAGGAGTTCATGCAGCAGCAGCATATAGAAATAGAACGCACCTTAGGCCTGCATAAAGCCTTCCTGGTGTATCAAATTTTGACATGACAAAATTTGACGTGACTATTTCATTTATATGAAAGTATAACATTATCTTTAATTAGATTGTTGCAATTAGATTTCCATATACTTTTCATTGCACCTCACGAGTCCTTTTCTCCAAGAGCAATCCTACAATCAAACTAAAATCAATTAGGGAACGTATTCACTGGTCGAACCAAACAAGCACACTCTAAATTCTAGCACTCTAGATGCAATAAATTTTCAATCAATGTTTTATCTTCACAAATCAACTGTTTTATTTTTTTTTTTTTTGGGGGGGGGGGGGTCCATTTAATATAGAAGGGAAGGGGTCGATTAACAGTAACCTACTATCGCTTTATTAAAGATTCGTCTCGGCAATTCCTTGTATCGTTTTCTAAAAACTAAAAAATTAATTTAGCCGGTGCGATTTACCGGTGTCTACAGGTATCTACCGAAGAAGAAAAAAAAAATAAATGATGTCAAATTGAAATTGTAACTTCCCACCTTTCTTCGAGAGTAGATCCTTATGCGGCGGCTCCAGGGTATCCGTCCTTTGCACAGCCATCGATGGAAACGGGCACAACAACAACACCAACGCAAAAGGCACGCCCACGCCGGCGATCACCACCATGACGCCGTTTTTCCTTTTGTTCACGGAGTTTTCTTAAAGCTTCCGAAACAGAGCTTCCGAGAAATGGCTCGGTGCTTCGCGGAGTCGGTTACTCGTCGTCGAGTGCACTCGGAACAAAAACACGTTCATGGTCTCCGGCTTCAATTACCCCGACGCAGCAGCGGCAGGCGTGGGGGTCTTTCTCGAACGACGGAATGGCTTTCATTGAGACGAAAGCGGGGAGGCGGAGTCCTTCGCTCTCTCTCTGCGGGCACCCTCGCTTTCGGGGACGGCGTCGGTGGTCGTATGCGGGGCTGCGACCGGTTGCTGCTGCGACAAACGGATGACGGCGACTGCCCTCGACGTCGCCTGCGTCCCGTCGACCGCGTATATTCGGAATCGAGTTGATCGAGTTTCGGCATCCGGAGAACGGTGGCCTCTCACTTCCGCATCTGCTGCCAAGGGGGAGGCCCAACGGGTCGAAGGACGGGGGCGTGGGCAGGAATATGGAGTCACATGGCTGAACTTCTTTCGAGGTGCTTCGTGGTGTCCTCGAGAACCCTCGAGCGTCGAGAAAGAATTGCGAATCGTGTCGTGCGAGTGTTCAAAATCTCCAGCCGAAATTAATTTAAACAATGTACTATATCGTATAATAACGTCTTGAAAATTGTTAGGCTTGAATGGCAGTTTTAAGTATCATTGTGACAACGGTGGGTAAAAAAAATGTAAAGTTGCACTTTGGTTTCTTGGTCAAGCTGTACGCATGGACATTTACCCCCTTTTCCCGTATCTCAACACTTCCCCTGTAATACGGAAAACTGCGCTTTGTGAAGGACGCTGTGTACGCCAACTGCAGTCAGGCTTTCAGGCACGCCACTTCGCGTCTAGCATTATCACGCCATCATTTTATAATATTTTCTTTTGTTTTAAAGTTTTTTCAACTGACACATTCCTCTTAAATCGCCTCGGAGTCCCCTCTCCGGCTTCGTCTGTTTCTTTTTTATTTCTTATTTTATTTGTTTTCCTTTATTAGTTACGTTGCGGGCCCGCGTAACTCGCGGCGGCGGGTCAATTGGGCTATCTATCTTCGGCCCTGGCACTTTTTTGTTATTTCTAAGCTAAATCAAAAATAGCTTCAATAAAAATGATACATTGGTGACTTTTTATTAAAATTAATGGTTTTTAGTTCAACTAACTCGAGTCTAGTCATTTTTGGTGACCACAATGCCAGAACGCCAAAAAAGGTTTTGGCTAAACCTTTCTGGGTTGCCAATAAAAAAATAAAAACATTTATTTGCTAATTTTTGTTTAATTTTGCTCCGCCTGCCTTACATTACATGGGAAAGGAAAAGAAACACCACAAGGAGCAAGTTTGCCAAGTTTTCTTGTTTTTAATATATTTACTACCCATTCACGGTCTCCCCGTCTCCTTACATGTCTCTATAATATACTATTGCCACGAATAAAAAGAGCAGATACATACAAAAAGCGCGTTTATTTTTTTATTCATATGTTTTCTTACAGCCCCTTCTTCCCCCTCCCACTTTTTTTCTGGCTGTAAGAAAAAATGTACATCAATTCCACAAAAGAACAATAAACATAATGAAAAAAAAGTAAGTCTGAACCCCCCCAGCACAATAAATTCATCATAAAATAAGCCAGCAGTAGGAATTGACACCAATCTATTGGACAGCACATTCCAGCCATAAATAGTCTGAAATAAAAAATTACAAAAAAATCAGCATTTTACAAGGTCCGCGCGCGAAGAAAGTTCTCGGATATTTTCATTATTATTAACTCTACGTGAAACGTAATTAGGAGAAATGATGTTTATAGAATGATCTATACCGATGTTGCCAAATTAAGGATGAATCGTGTACAGGAATTTTATACGAAGACAATTTCATTTTAGTTCCAAGGGATTTCAGCATAGTAAGAGCTTAGTTTCAAAGGGGCTATGGCGGGAATCAAAGTTATTTGAAGCGTATATCTCGGCATAGGTTCTGAACTGCTTCTTTTTGACTTATTCAAATTTGCGTGTATGGGTTCAATACAATACGAGCGTAGTCTATAATTGGGAGGTTGTAAGAAAAATGAAGGATGGCTTTGAGGCCGAGTTAAATATATATCTATATATTTTTTTTATTACGATGTAAAATGTGAAACATGCCGCTAGCCTTGGAACACAAAAGCGTAACTTGATTGCTCTATGTTAAAATCTTTGGTGAAGGGAAGTCTAAGATACACAGCCTCAGTACTAAATTTTAAGGGTTGTTATTCATAAAAAGAAAAACAATAAAAAAAAAAACAACAGAAGGGACTATTTTTTGTTCACTGGTAAATCTGATGGGGTACTACTTTTTGATACATTAAGAATTGCTTTATTTGTCACACCACTCCGAAATTCGGTTCAGATCGCTCTGTTGAACAGTAACGTTATTTTCATTGGATAATCCGTTATACAAAACACAATCGTCTCCATACAACTTGGTATTCGAAGAAATCGCCTGTGAAATATCATGATTGAAACTAAAAAATGAAGGTGACCCAAGACAAAGCCTAACGGTATCGTGATGCCATGTTTGCTGATGTTGAATCAACTTGGTTGATGATGACACGTTGTGTTTTATCATCAGGGTGATTGACTATCCAGTACAGAACTTGAACGTCGATGTTTATGCTACGTAGTTTGTGAAAAAAGGAGGTGATTAACACCGTCAAAATCTTTTTTGAAATCTACGAAAATGCGATCGTTTTTTTCTCAGTTCTTATCAAATGCACAAGCGAGATCAATAAAATTGAAACGGTGTCGCATTCGCGATAATCCTGAGCGGAAGCCGTGCTGAACCGGTGAAAATAAGTTATTTCTATCGCGTACCCTCTGACTGGCGCAAGAATCGACAGATGGCGGCAGCGGCCCCGGTGGCTTACGGCTGCTCACAGCCACCCTGTCGCGCCGAAAGCAAACGACATGTAACTGAACTGGCTCGAGGAAATGTCGTTTTTACTTGTTTTGTTTCCATTGTATGTGTTGTATTGGGAACGAAAAATAAATTATGCACTGACCAATATAGCATTGAAATTGCGCGCGCTGTTTAGGAATCCAAAAGGTTACCTGCCTTGGGCGCGTTTGGAAGGCTGCTGAACTGCCGTAATCCGTCGCTGTCGCCATCTGTAGGTTGTTGCGTCAGTTAGGGGGTGGGGAGGGGGCGGATGGCAGTGGTTAACAGACGGGCGCTGTATGTATGAAAATTAAGTTATCATTTTTTTATTTCTCACTCGGATAAGATAGCGTTTTTTTTTTAAATTTTGATGGATGCATAGGCGTCTCTCCGGTAAATTTTAGCGCGATATGTTACCAAGCCTGTTTATGCGGTGACTTCTAAGGATTCATCCATATTGGGAACCCCGCAGTCCACTCAAATAGTCTCCGGAAGGAAACACCGATGTCTGCCTCAACAAAATTACGTACTACCCAGACTTGTGCCCGTTACTTGAAAAGGTAATGGATTAGAATTACAATTTACCGAACCTCAAAAGTAATGAATTACCTTTACATATTGCTTTCATTGAAAATTGAGATTACTGTACTCGTTACGTTACAAATTACTTTTCCGTTACTTTTCTCGTACACTTATAAGAAAACAGCTAGAATCAATGTTGATGATTTAAAAAAATGTTCTGCGACACAACTATTCTATTTTTCATACTCCCGCATCGTGGTAGTCCTTGTAGAAATACAATATTGTATCTAAGAGAAAGGACGTAGGTGCACTTTGTTCACCTGTAAGCTAAAAAGGCAGCGAAAGCTGCGGTCACACCCTCTACCCCGGAAGCTTACGGCGACCGAAATGATCCCTTGAATTCGGGAAAGAAAGCTAGCGGTACGCATACTCAGTAGCAGCGTCTACCTTTGCTAGGAGATCAAGGAGACAACGCCGAGTAAGTGCTGTTTTCTTGATCTTTTTTTTTTTTTTTTTTTTTCATTTGTATGTGCCTTGCACGCTTTTCTTGTGGTTCTAGTGACTGGACTGGTCATACAAAAAAAAATCGTGTTTTATTTTCGGTTATTCTCCTCTTCAGTCTGTTTTCTATGTTGTATAACTTGCTATCTTTTTGCTGCTGAAATGCCTTGTCACATTGCTCCAGTTACTGTAATATGTTCATATATTTAAAAACTAACGAGTAATAAAAATAGTCCGTTACCAATATTTATAACAAAATCACACTAAGTAGTCATCAAGATGACTACTTAGTGCTTGTTGACTGTGACTCAGACCACTTTGCTGGCGAAATTTCTGAGGTTTTGGCCACTTTTAGTAAATGCTTGGAACCACTGGTTATCACGCACGAATTACCAGTAAACGGTTCCATAAGATTTTTAGACCTTAGGCTGCAGTGTCTCCCCACACACACCTGCTGGCTTTATGAACCAAGGAGTAATAAACCCCTCCTGTCGTTTTCGTCTGCCCACTCTAAACTGGTAAAAATGGGAATCATCAACATTTGCTTTAAGAACGCCCTTAATAAATCCTGCTTTCACTTAGTCAAGGATAGCTTTAAGAATCAAGTAGTGAGGCTCACGGCCGCGGGCTACCCGTTGCGCCTCTTAACGATAGTCGCAGAAACTCTACTAAAAAGAAGACGGATTGAGAATGCTGAACAAGTTAACAGGAAAAGCAGAAACATCACAGTACTACCGTACCTACACAAAATATCCCATAATCTGAAAAAAGTGGGACGCCCAGCTGGTGTTCACGTGGTCTTTTCGGCTCCAGACAAGCTATCTATGATGTGCAAAAAAGTGAACTCTCATGTAATAGAGAGACAGGTGTGCGCCAAGAAACACCAAAGCCAGTTTGTTACATGCGTTGCGGGTGTTGTCTACTCTATTCCCCTGTCCTGTGGCCGGAGATACATAGGGCAGGCAGGACGTTGTCTTAATGAGCGTTTAAGAGAGCATCGTTATAATGTGTCTCAGGTTGTGTCGGGGCACCTTGGGGTGCATTGCCGCGATTGCGGATGTACTCCGTTTTTTAAACGATGCACGGTCATCAGAAAACAAAAAGATAAACTGACACGTGAGATTATAGAAGCCCGCGCCATTGGACAATCGGGCTCTGAGTGTGTTAGTGCCCCGTCACTTGCCTTGACGGAAAAGGAGTGTATTTTTCTACTCAGATCGGAGAGCAACGGTGCCTGCAGATGACTCTAGGAACACGTGTAGTCCTCCTGTTGTGTTTTTTTTCTTGGCTTTTGGGCCGGGCAAATTGTGTATTTATACAGGTTGTCAGTGCCAATAAAG